CCCTGCCACTGAAGGGAGCGAGGAAATACATACTTAAGACTTCACAGGAACAAGATTTCTGAGGATTCAAGTATATCAATGCACAAACAAGCCTGAAGTACTCCAGACAGAATGCATTTATCATTTATTATTAGCCTTCTTTCTAAAGAATACTTGAAGAATATACTTACCATAAAATGTCAGGTACCCAAATAGAGCAGACATAAAGTAAATAAGGAAACTCAGACCAATTCCTATCACAGTTACATTCTGCATTCTACTTTTGGATGGACTAAAACGCAAAAAAATCAGAAAATTAGTGTTGCTTAGTCTGTATTGTGGACTATTAAACACAAAGCAATCTACATTAAAAAAAAAATAGCAGTTTGCCTTTCATAAGAAAGCATCCTCTTAATTTATGGCCACAGAGTATTTGCTGAGGTCTATGCTGTCAGTAACATTTAGGGTTTTTAGAAGTATTTTTAATCTGGTAATTAAAGGGCACTTTTCATGCAGAAAACTAACATTGTCCCCATCTTGTAGGTAATTTAGACATACCAGAATAATTTTTAAATCAAAATTTTGATTTATACAGGATGATATATATTCAGAGCCAGGAACAGAATCTGGGTCAAAAAAACCACTGAATCAGATATGGCCAAATGCAGATTCAGTTACAGCAATAAAAATTAACTAGTAAGTACCTTAGCAAATGACCTTTTTTCTCCAGATTGTTCAGGCCAGGACAATGTACTGACATTGATGATGGAACCATATTTGCTACTTTTCTCTCCTGTAAGAGAGGAAAAGCCAGTACAGACTAAAACTGTACATTTCCCAAAAAACATGAAAGCTACTTAATTTGCATTGTTTGATGGCACTGACTTGAAAATAAAAATTATTCAAGATTAATTTAGGGAAAATATTACAGAAATATTACCACTGTATTTTAATATTGCATGTGTTTTCATACATTACCTTCGGAGCTCACAATAGATGGGTAAGACTGAGGTATGGCAGAGAAAAGAGAAGGCCATAGTTGGTATTGCATAAGCACTCTAAAATAGAAGAAAAACATCTTGTAGGTTTTTTGTTATTACAGATGGTTGGAAAAATATCTGGATGAATTCAGAAGTCAGTTCAAGCGTTGGAAGTCAGTGGAAATCTTTCCACATTAATGCTTTGAGATAAATCTCCACAACACAGAATGGCATCTCTGAATCATTCCACAAAAAATGGACCTTTTCAACTAGTATCTCTTCAAGTCATGGTCATAGCTTACCATTTCATGATCAGGAGAGGTCATGCTGTCTATAAGCCCACAACTGATAGATTCTTTTTTAGCTATTTTGAGGCCAAGTACTTACGTAAAAAGAGTAGGATTTGCCCCAGAGTCAGCGTATCATTCATGAAATTTTCTAAGAAGTTTTCTAAATTCTAATATCCATAGCTACCTGTCAAATTACTGATTCCTTCATTCTGACTTCACTATTTTCTTATTATTCCTTCACAAAAATTTGGATACAGCATCCAGAAAATACAACATGCTTTGGCATCTAAAGTTGTAAAATAGTTATATAATTAAAGTTGCAACCACACAATTAGTGGTATATTATTCCAAAAACTTGTAATAGAAGAGATGAATCATCTAGTATAGCTTACTTCAATTGCCAAGTGGAATAAGCTGAACTATAACAAACACTTTTGTGCTGACATAATCAGGCCCGTACTGGTAAAAATATGCCACTTGCTACTGATAAAGTTAAAATTTTTAAAAAAGTAGAGATGAGTCCCAAGATTGTCAAAGCACAAAAGGCCAGACAAAAGGCCAGAATCTCAGGGTAGATGTTTCTGGTCAAAGCAAAATTTCTTCTTTGATCTCATGTTTACATTGCCCAAGCTTTTTTTTTTCCCCTCTCTTTTTCTTGGGAGGGTGGGGGTGGATTTTGCTTTTTCAGACAAATGCAACCAACTGTGTCCCTCCTGAATTCCACTACGCTACAGGCCTATCCCAGATTTATTCTTCCCTTTTTCCCTTCCTCTTCACCCCACAGAGACTAGAGTTCTACATGATACTTCCTCTCCTGCAAGCCTTGATGGGTGGTGACATGATTTAAATGCCACATTAATTAACAAATACCAGAGCTGGCATCCAATGAAATGCACAAGATAGCATTAGGCCTGAAGAATTAGCTTCAGGTAAGAAAAAACTAAGGTTAGGTCCAGGCAGTTTCAGGAAACCTGTTCTACCTCGCCAGGAACTAGAAGTGTGCATACAGCCAAGTAGCACTGACTTCCAGCTGAGGGCATATTAAGTTGGCTTGATCCGACTGCATCATGAAGCTGACCACTGCTGCATCTGTTACACTTTATACTTCAGTCATATTTGCAAAATGTTTTCATAAATGCTAACTTGGACACCCAGCCTTCATATAAAAAAGAAAGAGTGAGACTGGATAACACTTGGCAGCAGGTATAGGAAATATTTCAGCAGCCTATAACTAGTTTTATAGAAGAATAGCTTACCCTGGATAGAGTTTAAACCCCAATTCTTTAAAAACCACCACCCCCCTTTAAGTTTGCGTATTGTTAATAGAGATTACCTCTTTTGAAAGATGAAAGAGCCTTGCTTTACAATCCCCAGTAGAATTTGAAACCTGTAAGACATACATGCAAAAAAAAGGCATAATGAAAGAATAAGCCCAAACCACAAACATGAAACTTTTTAGTTTCTGTGATGATTAAGAAAAGAAGGAATTTAAATTACAAGTAATTCTGAAAGTGTTAATGTAAAAAAAGCATTACAGTTACTAATAAAATTAGAACAACTTCAAAACAGCATGCACTTTACCTGTAAAGTCTCTGTGGCACTACTTAGAGGTAGAGGACAAGGGATCGACCATTTTTTTATCATAATCTGCAAAGATAGCATATTTAATGTATGAATGATACCCTAAAAATCAGTTTAAATTTAGAGATACGGAGCTAAAATATCAGACTGTTGGTATACAAAGCAGGGAGCTACACCCATACTAAATTAACAGGCTTGACTGGTAGATATAGTTAGGCCACAAGAAGGAAACTTGACAGAAAAACTTGTCAGTGCCATTCCATACAGCTGCTTACTATGCACAGCTGGCAGCCTTATGGCGTGCCTTTCTGGAGGTGGTGCGCTGAAATGAGCTCTGACATTAACTGAAATACAACCAGCACTCCGCATTCACTCTCTCTGTGCTCCACGCTAACTGCCGCCCATACAGAATAGCTGCTGTGTTAGCTATCCCAGGCTCTTTCCC